ATATAGTCCTACTCCCCGCAGTATTATATATTATACATATACATACATTTTTAAATTTGATAATGTATATAAATAAAATTGTTAATTTATTGATACTGCTGTTGAGGGGTTATATTGATATGCACATTGTTCTTTTGTTGGTAGAAGTTAGTTAAGGTTGCAGCAAGCTCTTGTAATAATGTTTAAACATTAGCTAGCTAACACTTATTAGATCATTGTCATTATCTATTATTTCAAATATAAAAAATATATAATTAAACTATATAAAAAATAACAAAAAAACTAAGATATGTCTTGTTTCTGTCGGGTGTGGGTCTCAGATGACTGTTCTTCTTTATTTGAAAGATATTTCATTCAACTACAATGAATATATTATCATTCCTAATTAAACAATATAACTTTTCCACATATAAAACAATATTATTTCACAATTATTTCTTCTGTGGCAGCAACGCACCGGTTACAGCTAGTTAGATATATAAATATAATAGGGTCATATGTATTTAAAGGGCTTATTTGATAGTACAACTTAAAACAAATTTACTGTTTTAATTTTTTAGCTTCAACTTCTCCAATAGTGCTTCAACCTTCATCTTCTGTTGAGACTGAAATGGATATTGATATGCAAATAGGAGACAACTTAGAGCCTTTCAAGTTGCCATATCCAAAACAAAAACTACTTCCTAGAGGTAAATATTTTAAAAATAGTAATATTTTATTTCAACTAGGTATATACCATGATTGATTATTGCGTGTCGGACCCGGGAGGGTGGGGGGTCCGTTACGCTAGGGGAGTTAGAAGCCATGGAGGAAGACGCGCGCTGTGTTCTTAATGCAGCTTTTCTGAGAAGGAAAAAGGGGAGAAGTCCTGGTAGTGAATGTTGGAACATCATGGGGTTTTAGACGGTGTGAGTCCAACATAACCCATCCTGGCCCCCACGAGGCGGGTATGCGTAGGCATTTCTCCATGTCAAAAAAAGTTACTGCTTGAGTATACAAATGTAGATACTAAAAAATAACTACCATGCTGAGTTGTATTTACAGTAGCTTACATCGAATGGTGGCTAAGGATAGTGTGTTTCAGATACGCGTTGGTGATGGCTAACTTAGCAATTTTTTTTTTGTTTATAGGATAATGGTGAAAAACGAGCACACAGTCCACCTGATGGTAAGTGGTTACTGCGGTCCATAGACATCTACATCTATCCTCTATTATAAATCAATATGCAGATGCATTGTCACCCGTGAGGACTAAGATGGGACACCTCATTTCCAGTAAAAAAGGTCTCCGGTTCTCTAAACTCACCATACGAAACACAGCAGCGTTAAGCTGCTATTTTACGCTAGTATTCTGTGAGAGAGTGGTCCTTCCCCGGTCGAGCCGACCCATTCGTGCTACAACTATATTATAAATATAACTGCAGCATGGCTCTACCACAGCAATTACAGAGGACAATGTAGAGATTTATAAAGGAGAATAATGCTATTAAATAGAAGTCAGTTTAATAAGTACCAAAAAAAATTATAAGTATTGTAACATATTTTTTTTCTATTTTCAGTTAACACTCGAACACAAAAATGTTCCAAAGAATTGAGAACTTTAAAAGCTCGAATTCTGAAATTAAAAAGTAAATGTAAGACATTGAATGAGAGAGTTTGTCAGGCAAAAAAATTGTCACAGAGTCAGGCATTTTTAAATGCTGTAGAAAACCTTCCTGAACCAGCTGCAATATTGGTAAATATGCAACTTAAAAAGTCATCAAAAATGCCAAGAGGTAGGAGATTCAGCATGAAAGAGAAACTTTTATGTTTGACTATATACAAGCAAAGTCAAAAAACATATAACTTCTTGCAAAGGATTTTTGGTTTGCCTTCTAAAAGAACCATGCAAAAAATGTTAAGCAGCATTTCTTTAACTACAGGCATAAACGAGACCATAATGAAACAATTAGCTAAAACTGTGAAAAAGTTGCCTGATGAAAAAAAGCTGTGCACATTAATTTTTGATGAGGTGGCATTGACTCCAGGACTTTATTATCAAAACTCCCTGGATGAAATCGTTGGTTTTGAAGATTTTGGGGGACATAGGACCTCAAAAATTGCTGATCATGCATTAGTATTTATGCTGAAAAGTCTTAAGGGAAAATTTAAACAACCGATTTGCTTTACATTCTGCCAGAGTACAACAAACAGTGTAGAATTAAAGAAATTAATCAAAGAAGTAATAGCACAAGTCAACAGCACTGGCTTAAAAATTGTGTCTACAATCTGTGACCAATCCCCAACAAATATGAAAGTTATAAAAAATCTTCTTAATGAAACAAAAGAAAAATACCTTCGTAATGGCACTGAATGGAAAAGTTTGGCTTTTGAAATTGATGACAGCAAAATCTTTCCAATTTTTGATCCTCCACATGTACTCAAGGGATTGAGAAACAACCTAATGACCAAAAATTTAAAATACACCCAAAACGGAGAAATAAAGGTTGCAAAATGGAGTCATTTACGAATGTTACTTGACATTGATGTGGGAGAACATGACATTCGCTTGGTGAACAAATTAACGGAGATGCATGTCAACAACGACAAAGTTCCTAAAATGGAAGTGAAATATGCAGCTCAAGTTTTCAGCCAACGGGTATCTGCAGCTTTACGCTTCTTAGCAAGTTTGTATTTTTATTTCTGTACTAAATGATGCCAGCGATTCCATCTGTGTGGATTTAGCTTTTTAAAATTCAGAAAGCTCTCTGATTTTCTGTCAAAAAAATTATATCTGTTTACAGAACACAAGCTATCTTTGTACCAAATTTCGCCAAAATCGTTCAATTGGATGGCCATGAAAAGGTAACAGGCAGATATAAAGACACGTTTATAATACTAGTATGGATATTAATCATCATCGTAATTACAGCCCTTTACAAGTCCACTGGTGAACATAGGTATCCCCAACCTCTCAAATGATAAAACAAAGTACGGTCTTAAGCTATCTGCATACATCGACTTCCTGTATGTCTTACTAGGTCGTCACTCCATCTAGTTCGGGGCTGCTATACATTTCCCCTACCAATACAAGGCTGTCACTCGAGAACCTTTCGTCCCCATCGGTCGTCAGTTCTTCGAGCTATATGACTGATTCATTGCCACTACAGCTTCACATTATAAAAGGAAATAGTAAAAATCTTTAAATTTTTAATAATTAATAATGTTTTCTTTTTCAGATCATAATCTATTGCCAAAAGAGTGTCTCGCAACTGCTGATCTGCTGCTACTAGTTGATAAGTTATTTGACTCTTTCAATGGTCATTGTTACCAAGACAGTGCAAAACTATACAAATCAGCATTGAGAAAAAACTCGCTGCATTTTAAGCTCTGGGATGAAGCTTTACCTATAGTGAACTCTATGGGTTATGAAGTAAATAAAGATGGGGCTACAAAATTTGTAAAGGTTCCATCAATTCAAAATTGGATACATAATATCCATGTAGTAAAAGAAATGTTTTCTTATTTAAACGCTAAACACAGTGTAAGCAGCTTATTAATGAGAAACCTGAACCAGGATCCACTGGAAAATTTCTTTTCCAGTATCAGGAGCAATGGGATCCGAAATGTATCACCAACATGCTGCCAATTTACTGGAGCATATAAAACTTTGTTAGTTAATAATTTAACTTCCCCTCATTCAATTGGCGCAAACTGTGAACGTGACAATAACAAAATATTAAAGCCACTAAAATGTTTAATTAATTCGCAAAAAATAGAAACAGGAGAGAAACCAGATGCAAATATAAATGTGGATTCTTTAATAAATTTGTTTGGACAAAATGAGAACTCAGAACCCAGCAATTTAACTACTAAGGAAGCTAAACGTTATGTTGCTGGATATTTAGTGCATAAGTGTATAAAAAATATATGTAAAAATTGTAACGTGTGTAAAATGCAATTGTTAAGCACAACACCTCCGACCCAATATGATTATATTTTAGAAAGGGACTATACAAAAAAGTCATGTAAATATCCATCGGAGGCGTTGTGTTCATTCATAGATGAAGTTTACCTTATAATCCAAACGCAATTGATTGAAGAACCACAAATAAAGAATATTAAGGATACGATCATTCAGAAAACTAAAATATTTTGCAACTTTTCGTTCCTCTCCTGTGAAAATCATAATAAGAGGCTTTATGATTATTTGTTAAATTTAACAATAAATGAGGTTGTTCACAGTTGGTGCACCAATGTTAATAGGCTGCTAAAGGGAAAATTATTAAGTAACGATTGTAAAAATGATAATGTTAAAGCTCAAGCTTTCAAATATTATAAAATTCATAAAAGAAAATAAATAAATAATTAAAATTACTATCAGTCTTTTATATTAATATTACAAAAATCTTTTGTGAAATAGGCTAAATTTTATTAGTGTTAATGTTATCTACAAAATTACTATTTGGAGATTTAAGATAATTATTGTAGATATCCAATAATTATCTGGTAGAATGCATACATAAACATTAATAATAAAACTGCTTATTTCATAAATATCAATATAGTCATTGACGAAATACGCCATCTAGTGGTAACTACCGCAAGCCGCGATGTACTAAAAGAATACAGCGGCATCTAGCGCACACGGTACACTCAATCGAAAACTGAAATGTGAGTGGCGCATCTATTCCTGGTATATAGGTGTTATCTATGGTCAGGGAGCTACATCGGCGCGAAGGTAAATATGACAAATTTTGCTATTAAACATCGGTGCTACAACGACGCAATTGTATTTTCTGACAATATCAACTAGAAATGAAAACAGTTTTGTGGACACAATGTCGTATTATACAATTGCGCCGTTGTATCACCAAACATTCGGTATTTTTTTAGACGTAAATATAAATACGCCATTATTGTACTGTAATGCCTTTTTACCAATAACAATTATGACTAATTGTAATAATTTTAGACCAAATTTAATTATGTTAATTTGTTATATATTTTAAGCTATCAAAATGGGAAGTCGAGCACGAATGTTAGTCAAACTTTGTGAGCAAGAATGTTCAAAATTTGATAGTATTGGGGACCAGTCTCTTCCTTCAAAAACTGTTATTTCTACTAGTGCAAATGGTAAATAAATAATCAGTACGTTAATATTTTTGTTGGTTTTAATAATAATGTTTGTCAAGTTTTAACATTTCTTTGCTAAATTACAGAGATATTTTCTGCAGAACAAAACCAAGACGTCAGCAACATTATTTCAAACATTGATACTGCTTGCTCTAGTCAACGTAAGTCGGTTTTTCTACATTACTTACGTTTATTTGCAAAGTTATATTCTTGTGATTGTACATTGTTGTAGTTGTATTCGGATTAACTATTTTATTTCAATGATTGTTTGTTTATTTTAGCATCGATTGTGACAGAAAATATTATTTCTTCTCTAAATAAGGCGGATCCGTCACCGATCCTCCTAGAAAACAACGAAAACGATAGTGAAGACGAAACTAAAGACTTTTCTCCAGACGATAGTGGTGATGAATATAAGCCAGAGAAATCTGTACAACGCAACCGTATTAATTCAACGTCATCTAGCTCATCTTCGGGCTCTTCATGCTCAACTTCATCGTCTAGTTCATCTGGTACTACTTCTAGCTCACCATCAACATCGATTACTCATGATTCCGTCAGAAATTCCAATTTTATAGATACCAGCCAAGATTTAGCGCTACCTTCCGAGACTGCAGTTACCAAGAGAGGCAAGAAGAGAGTTCGTAATGAATCTGCATGGATAAAAAATGTACGAAAACGTCAGCGAAATTCTGGAAAACAATACGTATCTAGAACTGGCAAAACTGTTGCAGCTAAATCTATTAAACCACCTTGCACAGAAAAATGTAGGCTCAAATGCCGTGATAAAATAACGGAGGAACAAAGACAGGAGATATTTGAGTGTTATTGGGGCTTGGGATCACTACAAAGACAGCGTGATTTTTTGAACTCCTGTTTAATAACTTTGAAAGTTCCCTACCGTCGAGTAAAAGAAGGAGTTGCCAAAGCTAGGAACCAAAATTGTGTTTTTAATTTCACGGTGAATGGTGAAACTAAGCGGACGTGCAAAACTTTTTTTTTAAATAGTTTGGGTATATCAGAGCGAACACTGCGAACGGTTATTGAAGGTAAAAACAGTTCTGGTACAGGTGTGATCCCTCAGGACAAGCGTGGCAAGCATGCTCATCATAATCAAGTAAACCCAGAAATCATGCAATCCGTTCGCGATCACATTAATTCCGTGCCTAGAATTGAGAGCCACTATACTCGGGCTAACACAACTCGTGAATTTATTGATGGCGGTCTTACCGTTAAAGAGCTGCATCGAAATTACGTATCTAGTAGAGGAACGATGCCATCGGCAACTTTTGACACGTATTACCGAATTTTCAACACTGAATTTAACCTATCATTTTTTGTACCCAAAAAAGATCAGTGTGATCTATGCGAGTCTTATAAAAATGCTGTCGGGAAAGACCAACTCAAATTAAAAGAAGCTTATGAAGAGCATTTAAAACAAAAAGATTTAAGTAGGAAAGAGAAAACTAAGGATATTGAGTTACTAAAAGAAGATGGTAACAATATCGTTGCAATATACGATTTACAGGCAGTTATGCCTGTACCTATCGGTAATAGTTCAGCGTTTTTTTACAAATCAAAGTTGAACTGCCTAAACTTTACGGTAAGTATTTTATTTTCTTTGGATTCACGAGTGAGTATGAGCTTAAAAAAAACTAATATTAAATTTCTTTAACAGGTTACAAACTTAAAAGATAGCGTAACAAATTGCTATTTCTGGCACGAGGGTCTTGGCAATAGAGGAGCTATAGAAATTGGTTCTTGTGTGTTCAAATTTCTGAAAGAGACTGCAGAGCGTCATGCCAATAGCAATATAATATTTTATTCTGACAACTGCTGTGGTCAGCAAAAAAATAGGTATATTTATAGTCATTATTTTCGCACAAAAACAGAATTAAAATTAACCATTTTTTCTGTATTTAAGTTATATTTTACTTTTTCAGATTCCTGCTTGGCATGTATTACTATGCGGTTGAAACTCTTCCAATAAATTCAATCACACATAAATTTTTGATACGTGGGCACACTCAAAATGAGGGCGACAATGCTCATTCGCTCATCGAAAAGTCAATTAAAAGAGCAAAAAAGTCAGGTCCTATCTATATTCCATACCAGTACGTGCAACTTATACGCAACACCAAGAAAACTGGGAATGCTTTTGTAGTAAACGAGCTTAACTATGACGATTTTTATGATTTAAAAAAGCTATTTGAAGATATTACACTAAATGTTAACAAAGATCTGCAAGGTAACCAGATAAAACTATCTGAAATAAAATCTATACGATTTGTTAAAAATAGTGAGACTTACGATTTAAAATATTCTTACGAGGGTGAATGGATAACTGTCAAATCAAAAACATATCTACTAATACTCGAAAAAATCGGTCCGATAATAATTTAAATATTACTGAAATACGTTTGAGAGCAGCTTACAATTCAAAACTTACGATTTCTGATCAAAAAAAGCAGGATTTGCGTACTTTGTTACAAAAAAACATTGTTCCCAGGTGCTATTCCGGATTTTACGAGAGTTTGTTTTAAGTTACCTGAGTAGGTACAATTTTTTTATTGTTTTTATTAAGTTTTAATTTTTTATGTAAGTAGTATGTCTAATGAAACGAACGTAAGACTGAAATGTTTAAAAATAGTTCTAACATTCTACTGATCTTTTAAGACTGACTTTTAAGAATAACTTTTTAAATGTGCCCTGCACATTTTTTAGATTTTAAGAATATTGTTATAAACAGCTGATTTTCCTGTGCCATATTAGATAGTAGTTATTAAGAGGGTTAAAAAACTAATTTTATATACCTACTATATTGTTTAATTTCGTATTGAATAGTTCCTATTAAAGTGTAATTAAGATGAAGGACATCTACAAATGATTCATACTATGTCACCACTGACTGCCGTTGTTAATTTTTATTGAAATAATACAAAATGTGTTGATTGGAACGATATTGGTTTTATTTTATAAGAGACAACGAAGGTCATAACTACCCGAGCTTTCTTTGCCTAGGGCAACAGCGACGCAACTGTAAGTGTTAAAATGTTTTTTATTTATTTCTCATTATTTTGGATAAGAATATAGAAAATAAATGTGTCTGTTTTCAAGCCCAGAGTTCAAACTACAATAATAAAATAGATAAAGAGTCAGTAACTGTAAGAAAAGTAAGGAATCTTCAATGGTGTTACGAAAATATCTTAAAACTGGCGTAGTGTAAATTTTACAAATTTGCAGTTATGTCACTGTCGCTCCAAATGAGCGATATAAGCTTAGGTGAGTCACAAAAAGTCACTTTTTTATTTGGTCTGAGCACAAACCATGTCTTTATTCCCATATAATAGAAGAAAACAGGAATTAAGTAAAACACTGCACTGCACTTGCAAGGGCTATCAAAATGGCCCACAAGGGCGCGACAGACGAGCGATTCACCTAATCTATTACAAAATTTGACTTGCAATAGGTACCTATCATGTCATGATGCTTTGTTTTGTTTAATCGATAGTTAAATATAAGTCATACTTACATCAAAGTGATCTTCACAGAAGTATAGTTTAGATTTTGTAGACAATGCCTTCGGGTCTCTTCTTGCCAGTTTTAACCAAGTATTACTCATATTTAAATCAGTTGACACTTTAATCCATAACTTCTCTCTTATGCTCGTATTTTTGCAATCAGGCACAACACAACAATGATATAGATGATAACTTATTATTAAACATTCAAAAGTATCTTATTCCTTTGCAAAATTGTCAAAATTCTAGGACAGTGACGTCACGAGTTGAACAGTATGGCGGCTAGCGTTTTCACGCAAAAATTTAAAACGATAGTTTAAAAGTAATTTTTATGTCACTATTCGGTTTTAAAAAAATTATATAAAAATTATAGTGTTTCATTATCACTATAGAATTCATTTAAAACACTTTTTGAAAATGGGTGTAATACTATTCATAGTGGGGAAGTTAGTTCGTTCGAAAAATGTAAATGTTACTGTTTCTTTCCGTACTATTAGCTATATTTTATATTTAAATATGGCTAGCTATAGCTATATTTTATTAAAAATAAATAAACCAAACCACAGATGTTCATAAAAGTAGAAAAATTAAAAAAAAGTTAAAAATGTGCAAAAAATTAAAGAGCAAACCACTGAGGCGTTGTTTTGTGTATTAATATAATACTCTTGAAACTGGTAAACTTTTATTAAAATCCAATTTCACAATTAAATTACATTGTGTAACAAAAAACTTTACCTCAGTGTCAACTAGCGACATCTGGTGAGCAGAAAATTATTAGCCCTCATTGTTTACACATGTTTATCTTAGTTTATCTTATTTATGAAGTAAAAAGGCGAAAAGACTGGAATTAGGGGCATGACTGGTTTTAGGGGCATCCACCCTAATTCGGTAAAAAGTATCTAAATAGGTATTAATATACCTACTTTTTGCTATAAACTAAAATTTTTTAAACTAAATTTAACTAAAAAAACTAAACTGACCATTTATTGTTTAACTCAAAAAAGGGAATGGGTTTATTTATACTCTAAAAACTATAACTTTACACAATTAGTGTTCACTATAAAATTATATTCGGTATAGACGGTAATTATTAAATGCAACAATATTTTTTTTAATTATTAATTACATTTGTCAGTGGATTAAATTTACTTTAATAAAGTTGATGATGATTAAAAATAAAATTCTGGTCAAGTTTTTTTTTATTGTTACCTTTGTTAACAACATCGCCTTCAGAACTGGAACCGTAAGTGTTTTTTTCAGACGTCCACAATTTATTCAAAATAGAAAAATACTCTTTCTACTGGAGCATTTGTACCAGGTAGGCATAAAATATATTCGATTAAAAAAATATGTTGAAGATTGTTGACTTTGAATACTTCCATCCAACGAGTTACGGGACAATTTTGTGTCCCGGAGCTTTTGGGGACAATGGGACAGGTGACCGAGAAAAGGGACAGTCCCGTTCAAAACGGTACATATGGTCACTTTAGCTATAACCCGGCTATGGCTCCGTGGCGCAGTGGCTTAGCAATCAGTTGTTGCGCTGGGGGCCGCGGGTTAGATTCCCGCACGGAACAAGTATTTGTATGGCCTACAAATAATTGTTCCGGGTCTGGATGTTTGACCTTGTGCAATTTATGTTTGTAAACTGCCTCCACGACACATGAGAAAATCCTAGTGTGGGGGTAACGTTTTTTTAAAATTGAAATTGAAAGATTGAACCCTTATACTTCTTGTTGATTTTTGTATTACCTTTATTAAAGTAACCCTTATGTATAAATAAATATAATTACGTATGTAGAAATAAAATTGATTTTCATCCTCATCAACATCCTATTTATTTATTTATTCTTTATTGCACCAAATATTTGTACAAAAGGCGAGCTATCTATCTATTTGCCTATAGTGAGTAGGTATCTTTTAAACTCATAATTTTCAATGCTTCATTTTTAATATATAATTAATTAGAAAATTTCATAATTAGATAATATATGAGAATACATAATTCTAATATAATGCAACTAATATACCGAATAAAAAAATTAAAATACATTTATCGTTGTACGCTGTGTGTATTTCCATAAAATAGTTTATTGATGTTGAAAAAATAATACTACGTTCGTACAGTAGGTGGCGTCTTACATATTTCTTACGCAATATATTGTAGCGAGTCGGCGCGCCGGCCGAATGCTCAAGGTCGTTCGCATGGAGTAGCCCCTTAAATTACATTGTGCAACAGAAAACTTTATCTCACTGTCAACTAGCGACATCTGGTGAGCAGAAAATTATTAGCCCTCATTGGTGACCAGCACACATCGATGCCAGCACAGTAAAGAAGTTCTGTACAGTGGGGTGAAAAATTATTATTCTATCACATGCTTCCGATCAGAACGCAAAGGAATTGTGCCACCAGATCATATGCTATTCAAGATATTTTGTGGTTTAAACAAGACTTTGTCTGTAAATACTTGACCTTATATTACAGTTGGTGAAATCCCTAGAACAAAAAAACTTTATTGAAAGGAGCACTGCTTTACAGACTGCAAACTCGCTCTTGAAAACTAGAAGAAAAGTTAACAAGCTTCATGGTTTGCCAGAGTTTGCAAGCGGCTTGAAAATACCAACTGTACTCTCCTTGTTAAGCAATGTGCCATCTACAATCAATTAGGTACAGATAATATGCAACCATATGCAACAACAGGGAGAAAATTACACGAAAAAAGACCTTTTCTAAATATAAAGTTTGGTACTCAAGTAGTGAAAAATACATTTTGTTGTTTAGTGTCACCGCTGGGCGTCGCTGTTAGCTAAGAGTTCATAAAAATGAAAAAAAAGTTTATATTATAAAATTAGCTTTAAATAAAAAATTATGTAGTAGATAGTAAACGTGCTTACCATTGTATTAATGTGTAAATAAAACAAAATTATCAAATGTTTAGCTATTGTTTTTATGTAATGATTTTGATTTAACGTGTTAATCCACGACTATTTCGACCACCAGGGCGGCGCCACTGTGGAATGAGATGTTTAAGACATTTAGCGGGTTAGTTAATTGTTGTGTAAAAAATAATTTTTCTTTCAGAAATATTAGTCATATGTAGTATTCCTTAGATTAAAAATAGATAAACCAAACTACAAAAGAAAATTGTTCAAAAAAAAAGATAAACATGTGTAAACAATGAGGGCTAATAATTTTCTGCTCACCAGATGTCGCTAGTTGACACTGAGGTAAAGTTTTTTTGTTACAGAATGTAATTTAATTGAGAAGTTGGTTTTTAATAAAAGTTTATCAGTTTCTAGAGTATTATATTAATGCACAAAACAATGCCTCAGTGATTTGCTCTTTAATTTTTAGCACTTTTATTAAAAACTAACTTCTCAACTAAATGACATTGTGTAACAAAAAAACTTTACCTCAGTGTCAACAAGCGACATCTAGTGAGCAGAAAATTATTAGCCCTCATTTTAAAAAGCGCACCCAAATTATCGAGTGGGATTGACGATTGTGTATCTAGTTTTTTATTAGTGATCGATGCCTCCAGCGTACAAATAAACATTTTTTTTTAATTTATTTATAAAAGTTGCATCTACGCTAGGATTTTCTCCTGTACCGTGGAGTTTTACATACATAAAATGATGGACAAACATCTAAATACAGATTAATTATTATTTGTTGGTTACTTGGTTATATTTTTTCTTTCGGGATTCTGGGCCTCGAAGTGTAGCAAACAGTAGCTAGTGCTAGCTTGCATCAGTGTGTTCTGTGCTACTGCTACAAAACTGTAGCTATAAACTGTTGCGAACTGTACCGCTAGATGTCAGTGTACGGAAAATACACCGCGCTATGGTTATGGAGGGCAAATATTTATAATTAACCTTGTTTACTTAGCCTAACTATCTCTACACTTAACCATATTAGAATTTTTGAATAATCCGCTTATGAAGCGGATATGTATTATGTATATTAAAATTAATAAAATATCTATTACTCAAAGATATTATTATTATGACATCTTCAATCG